CTTCGATAATTTCAGACTCAATGCTCCGCTTGGGTCAAAGAAGTTGCTACGCCAGAAGAGATGGAAAGCATAAAGGAACTGCATAAGAACAAACAACATGCTGAACTGAAGAAGAAGATTGCAGAACTTGAGAATAGGTTAACTGAGGAACAGAAACATACTGTGGAACATGTTCGGGATGTGTGCTATGGCGTATGGGAGGTGCAGGTAGGGTGAACTTACATAACTGGGCAAAAAAAAACCTGAAAAACTCGGTGTTTTTAGAGTTCTCGCAAAAGAAGAGAACAACACGAACATAAACTTGATGAAGAAATGAAGAAGTACCTATCCTGGCTCACCCCTGAACAGATGACCCAAGTTAAGGAGAAATTCGAAAAAGATGGCAGGGAACCTGGCTACAAAATGGTGATGGATTTGTTCGAGTCATCAACTGGGGATGTGAAGGCTAAAGCTAAGGAAGACCTGAAGGCAGCCTGCCAACACTTTGGAAAGGATGTACTTGGAGAGAAGAACGTGGAGATCATTAAAGAAATGAAGGATGGAGGTGCTACTCACGAAGAGATTTCTAAGCGGGTGGAAGAAATGGTTGCTGAAATGCCAGATTCAGAAAAGAAGGAAAGAGCCCAAAAATTCGCAGCTGGATGTAAGAAGGTCTATGGTGCATCTACTAGAAGAAGAAGAGGTCAAGAGCTGTACACTTTGGAGAAGGCTCTCGAAAATTATTTAACTTGGCTGACTGATGCGCAGAAGGAAGATTTGAAGTCGCTTAAAGCGGCAGGTAACAAGGATGCGATCTACACAAAGATTATCATCTATATGAATGCAGCTACTGGGGATCAGAAGAAGAAGGCCATAGAAGAAGTGCAAACCGGCTGCAAACATTATATCAGAAATATTGTGGGAGAAGAGAAGGCTGACGAGCTCAAGCAGATGAGAGAGAGCGGGGTTCCTGTTGATGAGATTGCACAGAAGGTTGACGCGCTGGTGGAAGAACTAACCAATGAGGAGGTAAAAGCTCAGGCAAAGAAGGCGGCACCAATTTGCAAAGCGGTATTTTATACTCCAAAACGATTTAGACGAGACAAAGATGAGTATAAGCTCGACGAAGACATGAGGAAGTTTTTAACCTGGTTGACACCAGATCAACTGAGCAAGGTTGAGGAGAGGTTTAAGCAGGAAGGTAGACAACCTGGATACGATTTGGTAATGGAGATGTTTGCCGCTGCTAGCGGTGACGTCAAGGCAAAGGCCAGTGAAGAGTTGAAGTCTGCTTGCAAACACTATGGTAGAAAGATCTTTGGAGACAAGAACGCCGACATCATTAAGGAAATGAAGGAAAGTGGAGCCTCACACGAAGCGATATCGAAGAAAGTCGAGGAAATGATTGCAGAAATTTCCGATCCTTCGATGAAGGACAGGGCTGAGAAGATGACCGCTGGATGTAAGAAAGTCTACGCAGCCACGAGGCGAAGAAGAGGTCAAGAGCTTTTCACTTTAGAGAAAGCCCTCGAAAATTACCTCACATGGTTGACGGATGAGCAAAAAGAGGAGCTCAAGTCGTTAAAAGCAGCAGGCAATAAGGATGAGATCTATAAAAAGATTGTATCTTACTTAGATGCCGCTACAGGAGACCAAAAGAAGAAGGCCATTGAAGACGTGCAGACTGGATGCAAACATTATATCAGAAATATTGCTGGTGATGAAAAAGCTGATGAATTTAAGGAAATGAGAGAAAGTGGTGTTTCTGTTGATGAGATTGCGAAAAAGGTTGATGCTTTGGTCGAAGAACTCACTAACGAAGAAGTAAAGGAGCAAGCGAAAAAGGCTAAGATGATTTGCAAAGCAGTGTTCTCCGCTCCTAAACGTCTTAGGAGAGGTCAGGAATACCTCACCCTGGAGAAAGCTCTCGAGAATTACTTGACTTGGCTTAATGATAAGCAGAAAGCTGAGCTGAAATCTCTTAAAGAGGCTGGCAACAAAGACGAAATTTACAAGAAGGTCGTTTC